ATCTATCTATCTATCTATCTATCATCTATTCATGTATATAATCAGAGTTTCTCAACCTTAGCACTATTGATATTTGAGACTGATTATTCGGATGGGCTCAGTATTAATTATAGTAGAATGTTTAGCAGGTTACTGGCTTCTAACAATTAGATGCAACAGTAGCCCACCTCCAAATTGTTAAAAAGAAAATGTCTCTAGATATTACAAAATGTCATTGGATGAGTAAAATCAAAACCAAATGAAAACTGCTGACCTGTCTTATCTCTATCTTGAATTATATTGAAATGTGTTTTTATTTGTGAGAGATATGTTTGTTTTCAAATGACGCAAATAGTGAAATTTATATATATCTTGTGTTACCTTTACATACTAAAACATTTCTCAGGAGATAATAAAGAAAAGATACTGATTATGTTGATGTCTCTATCCAGAATAGGTTTTCTGCTGAACCTGGATGGAAAACCACAATCTAACAGTGGTGAATGAATTCATTCTCATGGGAATCACAGATATTCCTGAGCTGCAGGCACCATTATTTGCATTGTTCCTCATGATCTATGTGATCTCAGTGATGGGCAATTTGGGCATGATCATCCTCACCAAGTTGGACTCCAGGCTGCAAACCCCTATGTACTTTTTTCTCAGGCACCTGTCATTCACTGATCTTGGTTATTCAACAGCTGTGGGACCCAAAATGTTAGTAAATTTTATTGTGGATAAGAATACAATATCCTACTATTTTTGTGCAACACAGCTGGCTTTCTTTCTTGTGTTCATTTGTAATGAACTTTTTATTCTCTCAGCAATGTCCTTTGACCGCTATGTGGCCATCTGTAACCCTCTCCTATACACGGTAATCATGTCAGAAAGGGTATGTCAGGTGCTGGTGGCAATCCCCTATCTCTACTGCACATTCATTTCTCTCCTAGTCACCTTAAAGATTTTTACTTTACCCTTTTGTGGCTACAATGTCATTAGTCATTTCTACTGTGACTGTCTCCCTTTGTTACGTTTACTCTGCTCCAATACTCACGAAGCTGAATTGATAATTTCAATCTTTGCAGCTTTTGATTTGATTTCATCTCTTCTGTTCGTTCTTGTGTCTTACCTGCTCATCCTTGTAGCCATTCTCAGGATGAATTCTGCTGACGGCAGACACAAGGCTTTTTCCACATGTGGAGCCCACCTGACAGTGGTCATAGTGTTCTATGGGACTTTGCTTTTCATGTACGTGCAGCCCAAGTCTAGTCAATCCTCTGACATTGATAAAGTGGCTTCCATATTTTACACCCTGGTTATCCCCATGCTGAATCCCTTGATCTACAGTTTAAGAAACAAAGATGTAAAATATGCTCTACAAAGTACATGGAAAAACTTACGTAATATTTTTCTTTAAATTTTGCACCATATGATTCCTATAAATTAGGTTATGGTCATCAATTTTTTCTCTTTATACCTCCAGAAGACATAACGAGCATAACTGATTCAATATATATTTACATATGTCTAAAGCATGATAGACAATTCTAATTGCTATATGTAGATTAGTGAAAAAAAAACAATAGAAATCTTTGCCTTCCTTGATGGACCGATTAATTATATTCACACTAAGTCCATTTTATATAACAGTAAGATGTGCAAGATGGATACAGGCAAAGAAAAATGGAAGACAAGGAAAGCTAGTATGCTGGGTGGGAGTAGGAAATAGTAGTCATTACAGAAGGGAGTGGCAAGGATTCTAGTGTGTTAATTATTAAGTATTGAAATAAATTTGCAGTGTGTGTGTTTGTTTCTGTATGTTTCTTTTAATGTATTTTTCGTATATAATCATTTTCCATCTCTTTTAGCCTTTATACTTATTGTTTGTGTATTTTGACATTGCATTTAATACTGGTCTTTTACATGATATGTGATGATTTTATGTCTTTTAAATGTGCTTGAATAATAACTATTGCAAACATTAGGATCCCCCTTTTCCTTATCAATGCCTTTATTTCCACATATAAGTCTGTTAATTGAACAAACTTTGTAGCTCAATAATCTGTATTCTGCTTAGCACCTGATATTATTTCAGTCAGCCAATTCTGTGTACATGAGTAGATATATCATTTATAATAAAGTTTAGAAGACAGCTATAGAAACTCTCGGGTTTATACGTTTCCTCTAGTTGTTCTTGCCTTTTTTCATGGATTTTCTCCTTTTTATCTAAAAAAAGCAATAATCTGTGGTCAAAATTTATGTTCCAGTTGTTCTTACATCTTTGGGTAAAAGAACCATTCTATGATGAATTAACTTTATAGCCTCTTTCTCACTGAGTTGACAATTCATAATTTTTATCAATATGCAGTATATCGAATGCGCTATATTTTCATTGACTTCAGTGTTTGATTCCATCAGTTGATTGTTCCACCTGCACAAAGCAAATAAAAGTAATAAAACACACTATACCATACTGTATTTATCTGCTGGCTGTTACAGATGTCCTTGGACAGCTACAGACCTTCAACATGCAAGCGAGGCGTGATCTGTATGTAATGATATCATTACCTTGCCTTTTGAACATGGTTGTTTTCATTAACTTTCTTATGTATTTTGATTTTCTTTACTCTTTTTAGGACTCCTAAGATTTTATTGAAAGTGTCAGTGTCTACAATATTTCTTTAGTTCACCCTCATAAAATAAAATCCCATGTGCAGCCAAAGAAACCTGAATCAATGCACAGTGTATTGTCATGTGATTATAAATACTACCACATTGTCATTGTACTGAAAATGAATTTTCAGGATGGTCATATAAATTACCAGGTAATAATAATATCTCACACTTACTGAGTACTATATTTTAGGGACTCTTCATGTCTCAATTAATTTAGCCATCATAACAGCTCTGTGAGTTAGGTTCTACACCTCATGTTCTCACTCATAGGCAGGTGTTGAACAATGAGAACACATGGACACAGGGAGGGGAGCATCACACACTGAGGTCTGTGGGGGGGGAACTAGGGGAAGAACAGCATGGGGTGGGGAGTTCAGGAGGGATAACATGGGGAGAAATGCCAGATATAGATGATGGGGAAGAAGGCAGCAAACCACATTGCCATGTATGTACCTATGCAACAATCTTGCATGTTCTTCACATGTACCCCAAAACCTAAAATGCAATTATATATATGTGTATATATATATATATATATATATATATATATGTTCCATATTTCAGATGATAAAGTAGAGCCTAGATAAAGCAAGTAGGTTGTCAGAGATTACCAAGGTAATAAGTATTAGAATCAGGTATTGTATATTTGTTTGTTTGTTTGCTTGTTTTAAGAGATAGAATCTCCCTTTGCTGGTCAGGCTGGAGTGCAGTAGAATAGCCATAACTCAGTGCAACCTCAAATTCCTGCACTCAAGCAGTCCTCTCATCTCAGCCTCCTAAATAACTGGGACAACAGCCACAAGCCACCAATGTCCAGCCTATTTTTTTATTTGTCATAGAGATGGTGTTTCACTATGTTGCCCAGGCTGGTATCAAACTCCTGAGCTCAAATTGATCCACCCACCTCAGCCTCCCAAAGTGCTGGGACTACAGGCTGAGCCACCATGCCTGTCTCTGTATTCTCTCTCTCTCTTTTTATTTTTATTTTTTAAGACAGTCTCCTGCTCTGTCTGGACCCAGGCTGGAGTACAGTGGTGTGATCTTGGCTCACTGCAACCTCCACCTCCCAGGCTTAAGCAATTTTTGTGCCTCAACTTCCCGAGTAGCTGGGACTACAGGCGTGTGTCACCAAGCCCAGCTAATTTTGTATTTTTAGAAAAGGCAGGGTTTCACCATGTTGACCAGCCTGGGCTTGAACTCCCTAGCCTCAAGTGATTCAAGTGCCTCAGACTCCAAATTGCTGGGATTAAGGGTGTGGGCCACTGTGTCCAGCCCTATTTTGTGTCTTAATGTCATTTGTATGCTTCATTAATGTCACCCTGAGCTGCAAGAGAGAAAAACTTCACTTTGACAGGTTTGGTATTAGAAGAGAAGAAGAGCAGAGGGGTTAATTATAGAAGAAGTACATGTGGGGGATTCAGTGTAACACATGGTGATTGCAGTTTATAATATCAAATTTTTTACCTGAAATTTGATGGAAGAGCAGATTCCAAGTGTCTTCACCACAAACACACACACACACACACACACACACACACACACACACGCAGGGCAAACTGTGGGTGGTAACAGGTGTACTAATTAATGTTATTTTAGTACTCATTAAAGAATGTATACATATATAAAATTATCACACTGTGCACCTCAAAAATATACATTTTTGTCAATGAAATATTTTCAAATATGAAAATAAATAAAAGTCACAGACTATGTGACACATATAAAATTAATTTACAAAATACATAATCAAAAAGAAAATTGACTCAGAAATGTAAACTTATCAGTCCATTTTGACATTTTGAAAGAGTGTCTATGCTCAAGTAGAAAGCCATCAAAAAGTAAAGTTTGAGTAGAGTTAATAAATTGCAGAGGAAGAGGATGGCAGAAATTAGCATTAAGTAGTCAGTAATATGCTGAAGAAAAAGAAATAATCAGACAGATTTTCTTTATTTGTATGCTAATAAGTTCACCTGTCTTTGAGAAAGAAAGATTGAGGTTCATTTCTTAATAGGGAAAAGTACCTCCTGGGAAAAAATGAGGAAGGAACATGACAATTTGGTAAATCCTTGGACTCCCTGGACACAGAGCAAACCACTAGAGAGCTGAGCAGGCATGCCAAGGTAGAGAAGTTTCAGAAGTCATGAAATGGGAGAAACTATATTCTAATTTTCCAGTATATGTGATTGATGTATCTTGGAGTAATGAGGGCCATATCTTTCACAATGGCATATGGTGTTTTCCCATTTTCCAGTATGTCATATTTGAGCAGAGGTTTACATTGTGTTTAGTTAATTTTACCTTTATAAGTTCCCTGATGATAAGTATGAAACTATTCATATATTCTTTTGTTTGTTTGTTTTTTGCTTGTTTTTTGAGACAGACTTTTGCTCCTATTGCCCAGGCTGGAGCTGGAGTATAATGGCACAATCTCTGCTCACTGCAACCTCCACCTCCTTGGTTCAAGAAAATTCTCCTGCCTTAGCCTCCCAAGTAGCTGGGATTACTGGCATGTACCACCATGCCCAGCTAATTTTTTTTTTTTTTTTAGTAGAGATGGGGTTTCTCCATGTTAGTCAGGGTGGTCTCAAACTCTTGGTCTCAGGTGATCTGCTTGCCTCAGCCTCCAAAACTGCTAGGACTATAGGCATGAGCCACTGTGCCTGGCCTAATGGTATATTCTTTAAGTTGCAGCTAAGACACTAGGACACATGATATAATATATAAAATAATAATGTAGTAACATGTACTTGTGGCCTGTGGGGATCAGATCCAGATCTAAAACAAATTGCCTAACATTATTCCTTAAAAAACCACATTTTTTTAAAAAAAGTAGAAAAAAATCCCAAAATTATCTGAAGGAAACAATTTAAAAAGTCAGAACAGAAATAAATCACATAAAGAGTAGAAAAAAATTGAAAAATTAACAAAAATAAGAGTTGGCATTTTGAAAAATAAACAAAATTGACAAACTATCAGCATAGCTAACTAAGAAAACAGAGGGAAGAGTAAAATAAAATCATGAATGAAAGTGGAGCCATTACAACTGATATATTAGAAAAAGAATGGATCATGAGGGACTATTATGAATAGTTATATGCCAACAAATTCAATAACTGAGGAAATGAATAAATTCCTAGCAAAATACAATCTACAAAGATTAAATCAGACATAAATAAAAAGCCTGAAAAACAACAACAGCAAATAAAGAGATTGAAGTAGTGATATGGTTTGGTTCTGTGTCCCCACTCAAATCTCATCCTTAATTGTAATTCCTATATGTCAAGGGAGTAACCCGGTGGGAGGTGATTGGGTCATGGAGGTGGTTTCCCCCATACTGTTCTTATGATAGTGATTGAGTTCTCAGGAGATATGATGGTTTAAATAAAAGTGGGGCACTTCTCCTGCCCCCCAATGTCTCTCCTGCTGTCTTGTAAAAAAGGTGATTGCTTCTCCTGCCATGATTGTTTGCTGAGGCTTCCCCAGCAACATGAAACTGTGAGTCAATTAACTTCTTTATTTTATAAATTACTCAGTCTCAGGTAGTTATTTAAAGTAGTTTGAAAACAGACTAATACAGAAGATTGGTAGTGAGATAAGTGGAGCATTGCTATAAAGATACTTGAAGCTGTGGAAGCAACTTTGGAAGTGAGTAATGGAACAGTTTGGAAGATTCAGAAGAAGACAACAAGATGTGGGAAAATCTGGAACTTCCTAGAGACTTTTTGAATGATTTTGACCAAAATGGTGGTGGAGATATAGACAATGAGGTCCAGTCTTAGGTGGTCTCAGATGGAGATGAGAAAATTTTGGGGAACTGGAGCAAACATCACACTTGCTATGCTTTAGCAAAGAGACAGGTGGCATTTTACCCCTGCCCTGGAGATCTGTGGAACTTTGAACTTAAGAGAGATACTTTAGTCTATCCAATGGAAGACATTTCTAAACAGCAATGTGTTCAAGATGTGACCAGGCATTTTGTAAAATTGTATGCAAACATGTGTGAAGAAAGAAACAATCTCAAATTAAAAATTACATTTAAAAGTGTAGCAGAGCATAAAAGTTTGGAAAATTTTCAGCCTGACCTTGCTGTAGAAAAGAAAAATCCATTTTCTGGGGAGAAATTTAAGCCTGCTGTGGAAATTTGCATAAGTGACAAGGAACCAAATGTTAATAGCCAAGACAATGGGGAAAGTATCTCCAGGGTATTTTACAGATCTTCATGGAAGCCCCTCCCATTACAGGCACAGAGGCCTAGTAGGAAAAAATCATTTCCTGTGCCAGGTCCAGAGCCCCACCACTGCTCTGTGCATCCTTGGGACTTGGCACCCCGCATCCCAGCCACTACAGCCTCAGCCATGGCTAAAAGGTGTTGGGGTACACATCAGGCCATTGCGTCTGAGGGTGGAAATCCTAGGCCTTGGTGGCTTCCACCTGGTGTTGGGCCTATAGGTTTGCAGAGGTCAGAAATTGAGGCTT